ATCCAACATCCAAGGCCCAAAAGATAAATCGAAGTATATATAAAAGGGAAGATACAACCTGATGAAAAAAAAGGCGTACAAACCCTAACTGGTAGCCACGAGAAAGAGAGGAACGAAATCGCGTACAAACCCTAACTGGTAGCCACGAGAAAGGGAGGAAGATTGCGAGCGAAACCCTAACGAAGGAAGGAGATCGCGAAAACCCTAGGCGGCCGAGACTCAGAAGGACCGGAGCCTTCATCATCGTCTTCGTCTCCGACGAACAAACATTATAAAACCACGAGCGAAGCACCAACGAAGGGGAAGATCGCCTTCGCCGTTTAAACGGCGGGCAATCAACTCCAAGCCTCAGAGGAAACCCTCATCACCGGCCGTTCACCATAAAGGTGAGCCCTGAGACGTTTTCCTCACGACGTTCATGTTTTGTTTTAGGTTATAGAGATGAGAGGAGAAGGAGATGCATGGCGATCGCGAGAGAGATGAGGGAAGAAGAAGAAGTGAAACGGCGCCTCAAGGACATTAGGGTTCTGGGAACCCTAAATGCCTTCTAAGTTAATCCAACCGGGTTGGGTCCGGGGTGATGACCGGCCCAACCCCTTATGTTTTATTTTTTTATTTTTATTATTTTATTTTTTTAAATTATGTTTTTATTTGTTTCAAATTGTTTTATATTTGTTTTTAAAAACTTTTTTTTGTGCAGATATTATAAATAAATAAAAAGTCTTTTTATAATAAAATTAAACAAAACCTTTTTTAAAAAAAAATAAAAATTAAAACTTTTATAAATATAAAAATAAAAAAAACTTTTTTTTTAAATGAAAATAAGAGAAAAACTTTTCTTAGGAATATTCAAAAATAAAACTTTTTTTTTGAAAAACATTTTTTTTTTAAAAATTAAATCTTTTTGCAAGTTAATATTAAATAAAACAATAATAAATCTCGAATTTGCATCTTGTTATCTTCATTGTCTCGTAATTCATCTGATAGCCGTTTGACTCTGCCTACTAACAGGTGTTCATTTTTTGAAGTTCATATTTATTACTATTGTGTTGAGTTTTCATTTAAGTTTCATTTATATTTGTATCTGTTTCTCAATTGTAACTTCGCGAACCTAATAATCGCGTTTACTTTTCGCATTTAAATTTCTGCTGATGTATGATTCAAATTATCTCACACCTTCATCAATATTTCTGTCACATTGCACACACACTGCCGAAGGAATTAGGTCTAGCTTTTGACCGCCGTGTCAATAGTCCTCAACTTCAAACCCTTACAAACTACAAACCTTAATTTTCCATAAATGTCTCGCCGCAGGCAAAGATTACAATTTTACCCCTAGCATTAGGTCAAAGAGCCGCCGCGCTCATTTTAGGGTTTCCCGCCGTGGAATCCCTAATTTAACCCTAATTACAATTTAACAATTCATAACGTAGAGATCGGAGTTTAAGACTCCATGTAAGCGTGTCCTTAAGATGCGTTTATTCCCCTTGAGACCTTGACCACAGTCAAGAAGTTTCTAACCTCCCTTTTGAGGGGAACTACGATTACTCTGATTCCACTCCCGTAAGGATACGTAGGCACAAGATGCGATGTCTTGCCGAGTAAACTTAGAATTAACCCCTTAGGTCTCCTTTCTCACTTTTAATCCCCTTGTACATATACCTTAAGCAAATGAATAAAGCAAAATAGTAAACATTTGAACAAAAGGTTCCCGTAGAGTACTACGGAAGTTTAGGGTGCTAATACCTTCCCTAAATTTAACCAACCCCCGAACCCTAGATCTTTCCCCGCATTGTGTTTACGATGCAAAATAGGTTTTCCCTTTTTGACCTTTTCCTTCGGATAAATCAAAGAGCGGTTGTGAATTGAATTGCGATTCAAACTCATTAATAGTTTGTGATCCTATTTCCACCGCAACACTGCTCTTCTTTCCAACATCCTCGCTTGAATGCTCCTAAAAAGCAATAAACTGCAAAACAAACATGAAATAGCGTAAAAGTAATAAAAACATAGTGAAATAACGACAAATAACATGCGTTTTTGAACCTATAAACATGATACGTTTTCACGTTATCATCACACTAGGACACTTGTCTGACACACTTTTGTAGGCTTTAAAAGAAAAAGGCGGAGAAGAAAAAAGGGTTTGATTCCCAAGAGAGAAAAGTGACATATTTGGGCGATTTTGGAGCTTTTGGAGGCCATTAGAGCCATTAGAGATCTTTTCTTTAGTGATTCTTCATGATCTTTGAATATACGCTTATGGTATTGATTAATTTCAACATGAGTGACTAGATTTATCTTATGTTAGATCTTATTTGATGATGAACCTATTTGTATTTGATTGGGACATATGATTGAATGAAGTTAATGTAATTGTTTTAACTCTCTGTTATTATTCAGTTATACATTATTCTCATTTCTTATTGTTTGTTACAACATTCAATTGATTTTGATAAGTAGTGACTATTGACCCCCAGGTTATTTATGTGAACTACTATAACTGTTGAATTCTCTAATCGACTGGGATAGAATAATTAGGAATTACGACTTAGGGACTAACGCGTTATGTTGCCTTGTTTGACGGTACAATTCTCCCGGGGGATTGAGAAATTGACGCCTACAATAGTGAGTTACACACCAAGGGATTGAGTGTAGTGGTAGTGTTAGTATGTCGTGTAGCTCTGTAGTCATTGCATGTCTGTTAACGCGCATTTCATCAATCAAGTATAAATATGTGATTATGATAATAAGACCTGACCGCCTTTATCATCATTGTTATTAAAACTTATCTCTTATGTTTTCGAACAAAAAATTCTAAAAAGCTTATTATTAACATCACACAATATTTTTTGTTCTAAGTTTGCAGCCCCTGTGAAGACAAATTTATTTTATTATTTTGATTACAACACTAGTAAATTGTCATCATGCATCCATAAATTTACTTCTAAAATTTAAAAATCATTTTAAATTCTATTTTAGGTACTGATCTGACCTGATCAGAAGGGGATCACTGGCTGCCACGCGTCGTCGATTGGTTGTCTGTTCACCGGTGCTGAAGAGGAGGAGGGGGGTGTACCTGCAAGACACTCTGATGCCAAAGTAAGGGATTTGGCAGAGTGATCACAAGTACAGAAAAAGGGGTAAGAAGAGATTACCTGACCCTCTTGTGAAAGTGGGTATTTATAGAGAGACCCCAGCACAGGGCCAACGGTCATTTGAGTTGGGTTGGATGGCCAGGCCCAACCCAAGTGACTGCTAGGGCTTACGTGGCATAGTGAAGACCAGAACGTGGTCTTCGCCCTAGTTCAATTGCTCCGTGGACTCCGGAAACTGAGTTGACCTGCTCTTTCGGAGGTGGGCAGTTGGTGGATGATGTGTCCCCGCGGAGGGGAGCACGTGGAGAACGTGCGAAGGGCACGTTGTCCTGCTCGACAGAGGAGCAGGTTCTGCCCGCGGAGAGGGAAGTGTCTGGTCGATGTGTGGAGTCTTGTGCTTGACACAAATGAGGCATGCTTTGCCCGCGGGGGGACATTACCTGCCTGACGGGGACCCGGTGCTCGACGGTTGCGACCCAAGCTGGACTGGGCTTGGCGGAATATTATTGGGTTGAGCCTGCCTGGCCAAGTCGGGGCCCAGGCCAGAACATGTATTTTTCCACAAAATAAACATTTTTTTTAGCATAATTGTTTACCTATTTTTCAAATTTCCTGTCTTATAATCATTATTTTAAAAATTAGATTGATTAGATCACTAATTTATTGGTTGAACGATTAAGTTATCGATCAAATTGCATATGATTAAATTAGATTAAATTGGATAATTCAATTGAATAAACTAGTTTCTATAATAAATTATATAGTGTTATTAAATTGGTCGAACCAGATGACTGAGTCTTTAAAAAAACTCACGACACATACAAAAATTTAAAATATTATAATTTCAAAAATTTATTCTTTAAGTTTAAATTCTAAACATAACCATTATTAAAAAAAAAATAGTATAAAATATAAATTTAAATAAATTTTAAACAAAGTCTAATTACAACATAAATTGAATAAAAAAAATAATTGAAAGGACTGATAAATTTAAGGCTTAAATAATCTTTTAGTCTATGCAAATTGACGTGTTTTTTATTTTTGTTTTGTATTTTTTTTGTTTGAAATAATCCTTGAATGTTAATTTTTTTTTGTTTTAATCTTAAAGTTAAAATTCATAGAAAAATTCGAAGAAAAATCGGCTGAAAACCTACATATTGTCCTACAAATTTTATATTTAGAAATTAAAATCAAATAAAATTTAACATTTAAAGACTTTATCCGAAAAACTGTGAATTTTATCTTTAAAAATTAAAATCAAATAAAATTTAATATTCAAACACTTTATCCTAAACAAAATTATACTAGACAAAAAATAAAAACACATCAATTTATAGAGATTAAAAGACTATTTAAATTTAAATTTAATTTTAAGAAAAAAAATTTGTTTCAAATAATTTTTAATCTATATTGGGTTTTTCGAAATCGACAAATCCCTGATTTTTTTTACGACTTTAGACAGTTTAAATGATTCGACCGATCGATTCAATTCGGTTTATAAAATACACCTACTACTTACAATAAATTTTCTCATATTTATACATTTTTGTCTTTCTTTATTACTACTAAACCTGAAATTTATAACCAAGCTTCTAAATTCAACTGTTGGAGGAAAACAATGGATACTGAGATATCTGATCTTGATGAAAACCTCAGTTGGAGTATTGTTGATCTTCCATTGGGTAAGATTCCTTTTGGTTGTAAGTAGGTTTACAAGATCAAACACCATTCTATTAGCTCCATATAGAGATACGCAATGTTGGTGGTCAAGGGATACACTCAAATGGAGAGGATAAACTACTTTGATTTTTTTTCTCTCGTTAACTTCTCTACCCCAAGTAATTTTAAAGCAACAAAGGTCAATAAAAGACCGAGAAGTTATACTTAAAATTCTCTCTAGTAATGGATTTAAACCAAATCCAATTCGCTTTGCGTTGTTGCTTACGCTTACGAACAATTCAAAATGCTAAATCACTCCATTCTTACATAATTAAATCTGGCCATTTTAATCACGTTTTTCTCTTAAATAACATGATCTCTGTTTATGCGAAGTGTTACAGTTTCAATGATGCACGTAACCTGTTCGAAGAAATGCCTCATAGAAACATAATTTCTTGGACAACAATGGTCTCTGCATTCACCAATTCTGGCAGGCCCCGTGAAGCTCTAATGCTTTATAACAAGATGTTAGAATCCAAAACGGAACAACCTAACCAGTTTTTGTACTCTGCAGTTCTCAAAGCGTGTGGTCTTATGGGGAATGTTGAATTGGGCAAGCTGGTTCATCACCATATATTTCAATCTAAGTTGGATGTTGATACTGTTCTGATGAATGCCCTCTTGGACATGTACGTCAAATGTGGGAGTTTGAGAGAAGCTCAACAAGTTTTCTATGAAATCCCGTGTAAAAATGCTACGTCGTGGAACACGCTCATTCTGGGACATGCTAAGCATGGTTTGATTGGTGATGCGATGAAACTGTTCGATAAAATGCCGGAACCGGATATTGTATCTTGGAATAGTATTATTGCTGGTCTTGTAGATAATGATAGTCCCCATGCGTTGCGATTTGTTTCTATGATGCACATGAAAGGCCTTAAACTGGATGAATTCACATTACCAAATGCTCTCAAAGCTTGTGGTCTTGGTGGTGAGTTAATGTTAGGGAGGCAGATTCATTGTTATATTATTAAGTTGGGGATTGAGTCTAGCTGCTATTGTATATCGACATTGATTGATATGTATTCGAATTGCAAGTTTTTGGGAGAAGCAGTGACGATTTTTGATCAATTCTTTGGGAGCTCTTCTGTTTCTGAAAGCTTGGCGCTTTGGAATTCTATGCTTTCTGGGTATGTTTCCAATGGAGATTATGATGAGGCTCTCAGTATGATTTCTCGTATGCATCATTCTGGCGTACTCTTTGATTTTCATACCTTTAGTATTGCTTTAAAGATATGCATTTACTTCGATAACTCAAGTTTGGCATCCGAAGTGCACGGATTGGTCATCACTAGTGGCTATGAGTTAGATTTTGTTGTTGGGAGCATTCTTATTGATCTGTATTCAAAACGGGGCAATATGGACAATGCATTAAGGCTGTTTGAGAGGTTGCCGGATAAAGATGTTGTGGCTTGGTCTAGTTTGATTGCCGGTTGTGCTAGCTTCGGTTCAGATAAGTTAGCTTTTTCCCTTTTCATGGATATGATTCATTTGGGTCTTCAAATTGACCATTTTGTCATCTCAATTGTTCTGAAAGCGTGTTCAAGTATGGCATCTCACCAACGTGGCAAACAAGTTCACACTTTATGTATTAAGAATGGGTATGAATCAGAGAGAGTAATTACAACTGCTCTAATTGATATGTATGCAAAATGTGGTGACATTGAGGATGCCTTAGTGTTGTTTGGTTGTCTGTCAGAAGTGGATACCATGAGTTGGACAGGTATAATTGTGGGATGTGCACAAAATGGAAGAGCTAACGAGGCAATTAGTCTTCTGCTTAAGATGATAGAATCTGGTACAAAGCCAAACAAAATCACCATTCTAGGTGTTCTTACTGCTTGTAGGCATGCTGGCCTAGTTGAAGAGGCATGGACTGTGTTTAATTCTATTGAAACAAAACATGGATTGATACCATGCCCAGAACATTACAATTGTATGGTTGATATACTTGGTCAAGCTGGACGTTTTGAAGAAGCAGGAAAATTGATTAGTGAAATGCAATTTAAGCCCGATAAAATTTTATGGTCTTCCTTGCTTGGTGCCTGTGGAGCTTACAAGAACCGACATCTTGCAAACATTGTTGCCGAGCATCTCCTTGCTACCTCACCAGAAGATGTTTCTGTATACATAATGCTGTCAAATGTTTATGCATCTCTTGGAATGTGGGATAGTTTAAGCAAAGTCAGAGAAACTGTCAAAAAATTAGGCAAAAAAGGAGCTGGAAAAAGCTGGATTGAAATCTCAGGTTGAGAATGCTGGTTTGGCGTATAGCTTAATCCCCCATGCATAAGATATTTCCAGACGAGTCGCAGATTATTCTAGCTTATAAGGAATGGCATGATTGAACCTTGAATTCTGGAAGGAAGTCTCCATGTTTTGGTGATGGCACTAAAAGGTTAAAGCACAGAACTATCAATCATCTCATTCCTACTGGACATATACATAAGTTTTCTATGAAATCCTATGTAAAGGTTCTACTTCATGGAACACCTTGATTCCGGGACATGCAAAACACGGTTTTATTGGTGTTGTGCTGAAAGTGTGAAACTGATTTATCAAATACTGGAATCAGGTCTTGTATCACCGTTGTTGGTCATGCGGATAATGCTAGTCCACATGAATTGCAATTTGTTTCATTCATGATACGCACAAAGGGCCTAAATTTTGCTGGATAAGCTTGTTTCATCTGAATACAGTAAGTAGCTCAATCCCAAAAGCTTGTAATACATACAGGCTATTCCCATGAGGTTTCAGTTTCGCACATGCAATTTTTGCATCACCCATCAAAAGTTGAAGAGGTAAACTCAATTGTACTTACACCACTTGTGATTTTCACCACTTCTCTTTTTAATTAAACAGTTTCATATTAGCCATTGTTGTTAAATAACGGCTATAGCGGCACTATAGCCCATCACACTATTGTATAGCGAAAATTGAACAAATATCTATTGTTGTGCAATACACTATTTAGTGCAAAGTATTATGAAATAGAGGCTATAGCGATGCTATAACACTGTTGCATAGCAGAACAAACTGCTATTTTCCGCGATCCGCAATTAACAACACTATATTAACCACAACGCAATTAGCTAGTGCCACATAATTGTTCTATTAACATTTTGTGATAAGCTTTATTTAAAGTGGTTGAGTCTCTTTTCCCAGCCACAAATTGTTAAATGTGCATCAAGTCCAAAGTTACAATTTATAGCTTTACAGGAATCATGGAAAAATACACACCGGGGCTCGAGAAGTTGAGAAGCTTACACAATTCCAATCATTCACAAACTCAAATTTGATCAAAATCTAAGGTGGCACTTTACCACGATTGCCAATGCACTTTAGGCATTGTCATTGTTTTATAGCAATATTAGTGCCAAATTCTTGTCGAACAAGTACTCTCTTTTTGTTCACTAGTAATGCCATTAAATGAACCTACTCTTTCTGATATTTTTTATGTTCTACTCTTTGCTGTTTACAGAAGTCATCGGGTATTAGCCCATCACTTAGTTTGGTTGAGCAGCTTGACATTCCCAGGGTTTCTTCGAAATTTTCACTCTGATGAGCATGTGGTGAGAATGGTGTATTTTATTATTTGTTATGCCTATTGATGGTGAATTGTCTTGACAAATATATTTATGAAACCAATGTAACATATGATTAAGGAACTCAAGTATCTACTATTTTTGTCACACTTTGTTCTTTTTATTTATTTGAAAATAAGAGAAGATTTGTATGCATGTTTATCTAAAACAGGTGGCTGGAAAATTGCAAAAGAAGCCTGTACTAGATTGGAAGATATTAGTCAGATAACTAAGATGTACTCGTTAAGGACTTGTATCCTCTGCTGCAAAACCTTTTGCGATCTCTCTTCCACTTTTCCTCATTTTATTTGCCTGAGTGTAGGCATCCTTGTCCCATTTTATCTCAATTTCCTCTCTCTTCTTTCACACTTGTTTTCCCTGGTGCAGGGGCAGGACACAAAAAGTATAATTTCCTTTGGTTTGTAAAATAAATCTCCATTTGAAGCATTGTAAATAGGGGGCAAGGCTTAAAATATGAATGTTGAATTTGAGAAATATTTGTAGGTTATGTGGATTTCCGTTGTTTTAGATCCAAAACTTACTAATGCTACTATTTTTTTAATAGACTTTATAGATATTTGGATGTTTTTTAATAGCAACTTTATCTGTTAATTTATTTTAGTTAAAGTGCAATTACTTGTCCATGTGCTGGCACAAGTAACTTAATAATTTAGGAGATACAACTATTGAAGATTGTATTCACACAGGTATGAGTCAGGGTATGGTTTATTTAACTTGGTACGAAAATGGGCAATAGAACTTTACTAATACCATTGATTAATACACATTTTGTTTATTCTGATTACATTCTATCCCAAGGTTATATTACATACAGGTTGAGCCTCCACTAGGAAGCAAGGAATCATGGTGGGGTGGTCGCAAACTCCTTGAGTATGTTTACTACTTTTATATTATTAGGAAGAAGGGAAATTTGATTACACCGTCAGAGGAAAGCAGTGATATAACACCACTCCTGGTTTGACATGCAACAATATTTCAAAACCACAGATCATTTGTTATGTTTTCATCATTATGTTTCTGTGCTCTGACAGTCATTTTATTGGTACGAAAAGTTGAGAAAGAAAGTGGTCACTTTTGCAGGGACTTTGACGTTATGTATTAACCTTGGCCTTAAATGGAGCTGTTTCTTGGAAGATTCTCTCTGATCTTTTCAAGCCACATAGTGTTAGTAACATTGGTTTAAAACCTTGGTTTGGGGGCACCTAAATTAGAAAGAGCAAGCTATGTGTGTTCTTGGCAAGCCAGTTTACAACCTTATTATTAGGCAAACAACAAACATAAAATCTTGTGTGGGTGGGCCCCACTACCAGGATGGAGGACCCCACATTAACATTATAATCACTGTTAGCTGCATGCTTCCATAAGGCCTAGTCATTGTTGTGCAACGTCACCATCTCGTTCATGCTAGTAGTGCTAGTGGCAGTTTCTTAAATTCAATCCATAGAATTTTCCACTCTCATCTCTCATGCTTCGTTTATACTTTTCTATCATTGTACCCACAGTATCTTGCTCTTCTGCTCTGTCTTTACTCTGACCTCCTACTGTAGTATCTTTCCTTTTTGTTTCCATCTTCACAACCATGACATGCCATCTTGTGATTCCTTCACCCTTTTCACTATAACTAGCCTTGCACACAGTCCAAAAATTTGCCGCGTAACTCCCACGCCAAAATTCCTTTTTCCCACACTCTTTTCGCGCCTTCTTTAGTTAGCTATGATGAAGGCCTAAATGGTGTCATTATATGCTAACGTGGCTTCTTATTATTGATACTAAAGCTTATGTTTGTAAGTAGTACTAGTGAAAGATAAACAATCATAAGTGCTTTGTTTCTACTTGTATTTTAATATTAACCGCAATTTTCGTGTTAAAATAAACCCATGCTTAGTTGGTCTAAACTTTGGATTATAGATATAGAATGAGTACAAAACAAGAGTCAAATAGAAGTATGACTTGTCCCGGATTCCATGGAAACGCACCACACAAATCTAGTTCACACACCGGACCGTGAGGTAGGTGGACTTAATTAAACCCTACACAACTAATTAATATATGCTCCATCATTTGTTTGAAGGGTTTGTCAAAAGAAAGAAAATCCATTGTTTGAATGGAAACAAAAGTTTCAGCTATACAATCCTAGATTAAGTATTTCCATTGATTTTTGAGGGACTGATACTATGATACCATCAAATCCAATGCATACAAAAATGTAATTCTGCTTCCCAAAAAACGATAAAGATCCAAATTTAGCTACAAGACAGACACTACAAATAAAAACATAAAAACACCATCAAGTGATATTCAAAGAAATTTAATCCATAAATCCAACATACATGCATGATTCATCATCAAATTCAAAAGCCTCTATAGATTACAACAAAGCAAGGCAAAATAGCTCGAGGATTGTAGACATACAACTCATCCAAATTTGAATAAGCACCAACATCACCAGCACTAACCGAATCATACTCTTCCATACCATTACTACCACCTTCCATATTCTTCTTCACTCTCCCTGCTATCACCCTACAAACCAACATTGCTCTCTTTTCATCACCACCCTCATAACCTGAAACATCCAAAACACTACTAGCTTTGTCGTGTGCTTTGCCACTCGTCGCTGTCGTCAATATCCCTTCCCCTCCGCTACTCAACTTAAACCCGTGTTTTATTATGCTGCAGACGTTGCATTGTGGTGATGAGTTGCAGAGATTCGAGGAACCGTTTAGGCCTAAAGAACAAACAAAGGTTGTGCAGTGAAACCTTAGTAACTCGTTTCCGTCTGCTATGCAGCGAGGGTGTTTTTTTGAGAGATTGGTTGCTTTCGCTTTGATTGAGTCTCGGTACTCTTCGAATTTTGTTATGGTTTTCTGTGTGTTGTGGACTTTAAGGATGCGGTCGATTTTACAGACCGGAGATTGCTTCTTTAACCAGCTTGAATGAAATATAATTTCAACTATGTTCTTGCTTGTATCTTCTGGACCCAGCTCAGAAACTAATATGCACAAACAATGACAAAAATAAGCGATTGATTTTCAGACGCTACAAATCACAGTTACTAGTGTGTCTAACATATAGATATACCTGCATGTTTGACAGCTTGATGATGTTCAAGGCTTTCAGTTTTCATGACTTCACCACAATCAGGACAAGAACAAATGGAGCTTCTTAGAGAAGAGTCTCTGGTGAAACCAAGAACGGGGTCAACAACCATTCGACACTCGTAACAACCGGAGAGTCTCCTGAACGGCATTCCCCTAAAAGAACCAGCGCCCGATGAGTTAGAAGATGCTGCTGATTGCGAAGAAGACGACAAAGCCGAAGCGGTTCTTCCGTTAAGTTCATTAAGAGGAGCTTTCATGGATCTGCTAGAGCTTGAAGCCAGGTTGGTTTTGGAGCCACCAAGTGATGCCTTTTTCTTGTGAATATCTGTAGCTGTTCGTGTTGTTGATGTGGCGGCGGCTGCTGCTGCTGTTGTTGTTGTTTCTGGCTTTGCCATCATTCCAGTGTTGTTGCAGAGTGAACCTGAACATTTCATTTTCTTGCATTTCTTGTTGTTGTCTTCAGGGACTCTTTCCTCTTTCAGCTTTCTCTGTTCTTGTTTCTTCTTAGGTTGTTTTGTTTCTGCTACATGTTGAGGTTGTGGTTGTGGTTGTTGCTGCTGTTTTGCTTCCTTCTGCTGTTGCTGTTTTTGGACTTCAACGTTCCTACAAGCCAAAAAGCCTCTAACAACTGCCCAAGAGGGTTGTTTCTCAGTTTTCTGAGGCTTTTGGTTTTCTTTCTGGCTTACATGAGTAGTAATAGTAGGCATTCTTTGAGCTTTGGATTTGCTCATTGTAAAAAAAAATAAAGAAATAACTTGTTTCAGTGTTACAAATGGTGTTAATGTTTCTATGCCATGTAAAGCCTAGGAGTAGCAGAGAAATTTGAGGCAGAAGCTTTCTTATAATAGAAAACTAGAATACGATATGTAATGATTCTGGTTTTGGTTTTTTGGGAGATGGGAATGTGAGTGGAGTTTCTTTATGGTTATAACTTCTAAGCTCTTTGATTATTACTGATAGTGTATTATTATAACCTTTGAGAAACTTTTAGTTTTTCTCTGGGGAAGATATATACTTTAAGATGAGCATCTGACCGTTGATATTTCTCTAGATTTGTTTTTTTCTTTTGTAATTTTTTGTAGGAAAAGTAAAGAGACATGAGCTAAGGTCCCCCTCGACTTTTTATGTTGTGTCTCGTTCTGTAATATGTACAAGTATTATAGTACAAAAGAATACTACAGGTATTACATTTTTGTTAATATTAGACTGATAAAGTCTATTAGCCCCATGAGTTTCCTAACTCTCACACGATGTGTAAAGTACTTGAATTTGATGGTAATGACAGTTTAGTCTTTTGATAGTTTTTCTAGTTTATTTATTTAAAGCTTTTTGTTTTGTTTTGGAGGGAGGAATATAGACTTTGTTAAGTTGGATGCAAACTTCCAAATGTCCCCAATCAGCTCAGTAGTTAAGATTTAGCTTGAGTGGGAAGAGATGAAACATAGACCATTTAGCCCCGGAAGTACTTCTTTTTGAAGATTTAGTGATCATGCCAAACGAGTTATCTTCGATAACAATTTTCTTAATATTTATAGTTCTTTTTAAGATGACTTCTCTAACAAAATGTAGCATGATGTCAACATATTTAGTTCTCATGATAGATTTGATTTTTGATCAAGTGTATTGCACTCTGATTATTAGTGTATTGTGATAATATGATCTAAAGATTGAATTATTGAGTTATTCCTCTAAAACAAAGAACTTTCTTTACAATCTTTATCCGTGCAATATACTCTGTCTCTGTAGTGGATAAAGTCACTACATTTTGTAGGCTTGCTTTCCAACTAATATTTCTGCCAAATGTTGTAAAGATATACCATGTTACTGACTTTATGGTGTCAAGGTAGTCAACATAATAAGAGTCCACAAAATCCTTGATGGCAGCTAAACTATCACGTCTCTTATCACCTCTGTCATAAGCAAAACACTTTCCAAGTGAATCATTGATGTATCTTAAAATCCACTTCAAGGCTTGCCAATGCACCTTTCAATGAGCATGCTATATCAGGTCGAGTACATACAATGATATAGATCAAAGAATCTACTGCATTTGGATAAGGAATTTTAGCCATAAATTCAATGCCTTCTTCTGAATTAGGTGTTTGATCATCGCTCATTTTGAACTTTTGGGATATAGGTAAGGTTACTAGCTTAGCTTCAAACATTTCAAACCTTTCCAACACTCGAGATAGGAATAAGTACATCTTGTTGTTGTCTCTTTGGATCTCAATTCCTAAAAAAAATTATTGACAACACCTAAATCTTTCATTTCAAACTCCCTTTTAAGTTCAATTTTGACCTTTATAAACTCACTCTTATAATTGATTGTTAAAAGAAATATCATCATATAATAGTAATAAAACAAAAGTATCATATGTGATGAATTTGAAGTAAACACAATTTCTATACTTATTTCTGTTGAGGTTAATTCTTGACATGAAATAGTCTAATCTCTTATTCCATTTTCAAAGAGGTTTCTTTAATACACGCGAGAATTTGTTTACCATATAAACATGATCTACCTTGCATTTTGATTCATTTAGGTTATCTCATGTATATGACCTCTTCTAGCTCTCCGTACAAAAAAAGTTTTTTTTGCATCCATTTATTCTCGGTCCAAATCAAACTTTGCAACCATAGCTAGTAGTATCCTTATTTGAAAATTTTGTTCCATAGTAGACAAAATTTGTACTGGATGTTTGGGATAACAAGAATTACTAGTTTAAAAAAGACTATAGCTTCTGATGACAGATGTCATACATGATGTCTAAGACAGTGTAAACTAGAAACAGAAAAATCATTTTGCAATCAAGAGATGACAGATTAATTTTTACAATATGATGAAGTAGAAAAGGAGTAAAGAACACAAGAGATCGGTAACCCAGTTCGGTAAAATCGCACCTACATCTGAAGGAAACTCTACCCAAGAAAGAAAATCAATTACTTTGAATTAGTACCCTTAGACTTACAAGAACCAATAAAGTCCATGTTGTTAAATACCTCTTCCTAGTCCTAATATCTTTTTATTTAAAGACTCCCCATAAATATGAGAATCAACTCACTTTCTTCTCAATCACACAATCGTGATTGATGTTTTCAACCCAATGAACAATGTTGAATGTTACAACTCAACTAAGACAAACCTTCTATGCCAAATTACTAAAATATAGAGGTGTACACAAATATTCAACTCTAAACAACCTTTAGTGTGAAATACAAGAAACACAATGTTCTCAAGCTTATAGACTTAACATCTTGGAACAAGGTTTACAACTCAATAAAAACTAAACTATATGCCTTATGATATGAAGGGAGAATTTGGAGTGGTGCACATACAAAGACTCAAAAGATAAACCCTAACACTAGGTATCTTCAAAACTCTCACACCTTGCACACCTCAAAAGTGAGGTTTGAGTCTCCTTAAATAGCAATGCAATTCAGGACTTTTTCCAATGGAAAATTGTGCTAATTTTGTCCATAATATATGTAGGTATTGTTAGATATGATTTGATCCATAAAGTTCTCTGACAAAATATATGATTTCCTATTAATTCAAATTTAAATTTAAATTTCTATTTAAATTAATTTGATCTTCAGCAGTTGTCCAACAAATCATATAATCATATTTCTAAACAAAAAGCAATAAAGTCAAACAGAATCTTCAACAAAAAATTCCTTCCAAAATGCACCATTCTTATCTGTTGAGCAAAGTCCAGATGTCGTACGTACATGATGTGACATTGCATATAGCATGTGTCCCTTCTACAATACAATTTCCATAACATATATCTACTAATTGATACCAAATGTTGCAGTACATTATTCTTCACCCGAACTACACTAACATCTGTTTGTTGATAGGAACCAGATGTTACAACATACAATAACAGTTGTCTATAGACTGTATGTTGTAGCACACATACCAAAGCATCCAAAATAAATCTCTTTACATATGTCTTATTTGTTGAGTAAATATTTGACCAAGTATTCTTTGAAAGTACATCCAATCACTTATTCTCTGGATGAAATAAATCCAAATCTTATCAAGTTAATTTTGGATTAACACCGCAAAGTTCTTCCCAAAAGCAGCCTCTGCATCTTCTAAAGAAGTCAACATCATGACTCTTCATTTGAATATAGTTAGAACCCAAACCTTATGCCTATTGCTTAACTAGTTCTGTCAATCACATTATTTGCATATTGAAATTGATGGCTTAACTGGTTCTATCAAGCAATTTAGCTAAACAACTCTTCACAATTCTTTTTAGCAACAAACTTAGATGCTGGAACACATATTGAAACATCTTGTTCCACATGTTGCCTAAAATACATCTTGTATGTATGTTGTTTTACCTAATGCAATCAATCCAAAAGGAACAACAATCTCCTCCTTTGAAAATTTTGGCTAAAACAACTACAAGATATGTTCTTCATGAATTAGCACAAGTAGCACATCACATCACCCAAAAGAATCAATAGAATAAACAGCAGAAGAAGAAGAAACATAAAAGTCAGGTGATTGTTACACGTCAAAAGATAAACTCCTTACTCCCCCTTTTTTTCCATAATTTGGAAAAAGGAATGGGAAGAACATCTATCTTTAGATATTAGAACAATAATCAGCCTAGAGCAGCATTTGGAGCAGCAACACAAAACAGTAGCAGAGTCAAAAGACACAGGTTGCTACACACAATATTCAATGCTCCATAGTAGATAGTCATGCCAAAATAATGTCATTCATGCATTAACACACAATTAGTAGCTAAGTCAGAATCAACAGAAACTACTAACACACAAATCAACACACACACTCTAGGTCCAGATGTCAGTCCTCTTTTCCATAATCTTATCAATAGATGGAACCTTGATTCTTCTCAGTCAATTGAAAGTTAGAGATGAAAGTTTCACAAAATTTCCTTTATCATACACATTGATCAACTTTTTACAACTAGGACCTTCATTAGTAACAGTTATCATTGTTTATTCTCCAAGCTCCCTTTTAGCTTCAAACCTTCTTTGAAGAACATACTTCCATTTCAGAACACTTGTTTCAGAATTGAAAGACATATTATCCATGTGAGCAAAAGTGACATCCACATGAAATCTTTTCTCTCCAAACTTTATCCTTAAGGCGGACATAATGTTCTGGATAGTTGCTTTAACACCTTTCTCAGATAGACATGTTTGAATAAGCTTGTTATTAGCAAGGGCAACTTTCTCATCCTTCTCTTGAGTTGGAAATTCAGTCAACAACATGTCACACATGTTATTTGGCACATCCTGGTTTACATCTTCATTACCCTTTTTGATGACATCAATGATTATTTGTTTGCTAAACAATAGTTGAGTGCAACACCTTTCAACATATGTACCTTGAGAACCACATGAGTACTTCTTCACTTGAAAATCTAAAAGGCAACTTACTTCTTCTGCCATGCTCAACTCAAAGTTAGTCTTCATATGATAAACAACATGCTTCACCATGTTGTCTGAAAATTCCTTAACACACATGAAATCTATCTCAAGATTCTCATTTTCTTTCATAATTTCTTCCTCCAACAGCTGGCATCCTCTTCAAATGTCAAAGCTTCTTTTAGCATCATCCTATCAAAGGCTAAATACTTCCACTTTAGCATAATATCCTCATAAAAGAGAGACAAGTTACAAAGATCAACATCCTTAGTAACACTTTCCTTGACTAGTTCAGTTCCATCATGAACTTCCTTGTTCA